CCAATATCTAGGGTGAATCCCATGTAATTAATCTCCCATGTAATTAATTACCATTGAGATTCCAGTTAGATTTTTATAGATTCCAATAATGAGGGCTCCAACCCGAGTAGCTTTCTTAGGTTTTGCTTCCATCTCTGAAGACTGCACAGCATCTTACATGTAACTTTCATATTGGTATTACTATAATATGTAGGTCTGTTTGTCCTACTTTGTAGCTCCGAGTCTCAAATTTTTGTCTCCTCAACTTCAACTTTGGACCCTGCCAGCATGGAGGGCTTTTTTTTTTTTTTTCTTTTTCCTCTTTAGAATTGGCAACTTTGGAAGAAAAACAGTCTGGCCCTTTCTCCACCTTGCTACACCACTATACATTTTTACAATGTTCTTCCCAGGCTTCTCTAGCATTTAAGTATCTCAAAAATCCCACCAGTAAAGCAGATCCATTAAAATAATTAGAAGTGAATCTCATCCCAAGGCTTTGTGCACAATTCTTTGAGGCCCCTACTCTCCTGGCTTTGCAGAACATAAGCAATCTAATACTGTCATCCATTAGCTAGCAGCTAGAAGAACATGCTAGGAAGTCCAATGACCTGATATAAATCCCCAGAACACACATTGTAAAAGAAGAGAACTGACTGCACGCAAGTGTCCTTTGACCTCCAAAGCAAACCGCAAACCACGGTTCACTAAAGAGTTTCATTATGCTTGCAAGCATATGTACACACACACACACACACACACACACACACACACACACACACACACTAGAACAATGCCATATACCGCGATAGGAGGAAACAAACAAAAAGATAAAACTACAAGAACCACACCTCTCCAACTGTGAACTATTTCTTTCCTTAGTGTCATACCTCTCATCTATTACTTAAGGGAAAGTGCCACTGGATCAGTTCTCTGCTCTTTGGGAAACAAGTATCCCAAATTCAGAATCTGATGTCTTTCTAACTTGGTCTTGGAAATTTTGGAAATTATGTTGTCAACAGCTGTTATTCACCTTTAACTTGTCATAAAACTCCATGGTAGGAAAAGATCTCAATGAGTTTCTCCCATTATTTCTATAAATGTAATAGCAATTTCAGGATGGTTTTCACTTTCAAAACTTTATTATAACCAATCTCATATAGAAAATTTGATTTGAAAGACTATACATATGTTTTTTTTTTTCAAGAAAATTTGGTGGCTACAAACAAAAGATTTACTGACGATGGGTCAAAATGGTCATGTTCAACTATGCACCCACTGAAAAAAAATAAAAATCTACTTGATAAACTTCATATTCAGTGGTTATGCCACAATGATTCATCTATTTTCAGGGGATTCTTTTAATATAACCCACTAAATCTTTTCTGCTTTGCACTATAGCCTCCAGAGCAACATCATCAACAACAAACAATTACCTTAAGTATGGATGCACTCGTTCCTAAAATATTCACCTACTTTGTAAAAAAAAAAAAAATTACAGTAAATCACTAAATATACAAAGTAGATATGTGGATTTGACAACGTAATACAGCAAAGGAAATCATACACCGATACTCTTAAAATATTGTTAGTTACAATTTGATGGTAGTAAAAATAATGAGTCAACTTTTATTAGCAATTTGCTAGGCTCTGCAGTGATTTCTTATTATATGCAACCATATTCTTTTAATAGTCTGTTTCACTATTTAAGCACAAAAATACTGGTAAGTAATTGATGCATAGTTACATATCATTATTATAGCAGACTGACTCTGAACCCAGAATTGTCTGATAGCCCACTTTATGCATCTAATTTGTCATCCTCCCAGTCAATATCATTAACACAGAAGTCTTTATAATGTTAGATTAAACCAAATTTGGCCTAAAGGTGACTCTATACTTGAACAGTTACACAAGAAACTGCAAGGTGACTTAAAGAAAAAGGTTAAATGAAAGCCTAACTTTGAAGTATACTTTTCTAACAAAAAACTCAGTGTCAGCTCTCCACAGCATTCCATCTTAAGTCAGTAGTTGGGTAGGAACTGTTCTAACCCTGTGTTCTCATTTGAATTTTGTTGCTGTGATAAAACACCATGATTAAAAGCAACTTGGGGAAGGAAATACTTTATTTGGCTCGCAGGTTATAACCCAACATTGAGTTAAGCCAAGGCAGGAACTGAAGGAAAGAGCGACTATGGAAGAATGTGTGCTGGCTTGCTTTCCATGGTTTTCTCACTTGATTTATTTCTTCTTTTCTTTTCTTTTCTTTCTTTCTTTTTTTTTTTTGACAGATGAGTCTTTTAATAGAAAAAAAAACACATGAAAAAGTAACAGCACACAGTTTTTCCAATTCCAATCCAACGACAAAAAGGCTGAGAAAGAAATTAGGGAAACAACACCCTTCATGATAGCCACAAATAACATAAAGTACCTTGGTGTAACTCTAACCAAGCAAGTGAAAGACCTGTATAAAAAAGGTGAACTCATTTGATTTCTTTTATGACACAGGATCACCAGCCCACAGGCAGCACTGCCCACAGTTAACTGGGTTGGCCTTGCACACCAATCATTAAACAAGAAAATACCCACAGGATTGCCTATGGTCCAAGTTGATGGATGCAATTCCTAAATTGAGAGAGCCCCTCTTCCCAGATGATTCTGGTTTGTATCAAGTTGTCAAAAAGCTCACTAGCACATTATGCTTAAAAAAAAAAAGGCAAGTCTAAGCTGTAATCAATCAAGTCATCACTGTATGTCAGCTCTGCTCTCTGTACATTTTCATTTTCTGTCCAAAACACATGGCTTGACCATGTTGAAGAGCACTGTCTTTGAACCTGTTCTGGCTTCATGTGCTTCCTGGTTTCTGAATCATTCTTTGTTCAAGTTGATAAACTTGTCTGAACTATTTTATTTTTAACAAAGGAAGAGTAGTTAACTGTGAGACACAATCTAGAAATCACTAGCGTTATTTTAAACAGCAATTATTGGCTACACCTTTGCAATTTGAGATTTTGGAGCTATATGTTAACATCTCCAAAGTCATAATTTTATATGTGATAGCTCCCAAACTTTAACACACCAAGTGTCTGTACTTTACTTCTCTAGTATCCCACCTCATTTATCAGAGTAGGAGACAATACAGAACTTTGAGACCCAAAATAAAAGCAACTTCTTTCTCTCACAATGAATAGCTACTAAATTGTAAATAAACAGCAATACTATGTTTCCAAAAATCTGTCTTCTAGCTGTAATTTTTTTAAAGATGTATTTATTTTATGTATATGAGCACTGTTTTCATGTACAGCAGAAGAGGGAATCAGGTTCCATTACAGATGTTGCGAGCCACCATGTGGTTGCTGGGAATGGAACTCAGGTCCTTTAGAAGAACAGTCAGTGCTCTTAACCGCTGAGCCATCTCTCCAGCCATAGCTGTAATTTTTTAAAGAATCTGATTTTAACTCCAGGCCTGTCTGGGCCACAAAGTGAGACTTTGTCTCAAAACAAGCAAATAACTACCAAACAAAAACAGTGAGTTTAGGGTGGAAGAAAGAGTTGCATTTAGGATGAGTTTTCATATCAGATTTAATTGCTTCATCCATCATTTGCTTATTTTTAATATGTTTTGAGACATTAATACCAGAGGAGAGGTTTGGGGAGTGACTTCTAGATATTTTATATTTCTCAGCTCCTTAAATATTTATAGGGTGGTTTGAGAGGTTTAGAGAAGAAAAGAAGGAATTAAAATGGCTTTGTCCTGGAATCAGAGATATCTCATATAAAACCAGCACTTGGGAGGCAGAGGGAGGAGACAGAGGCAAGGGAGATCACTCCAAGTTTGAGGCCATCCTGTTTGATACAGTGAATTCAGACCATCAGGGACTACATTCTGACACCCTGTCACAAAATATCATATAAAGTTGTGATTTCTTTCTGGAGGAACTATTTCAGATCAATTTTAGATCAGGAGCTGTATTCAGCAAGAGTACTTTCTTTTTAATTAAAAAATTGAAACCTACTAATACAGCATGTTTCAAAATTGACATTCAAATCCTAGAGAAGGTATTTTCTTGTGATACACACGTTAACATAAACAGCAAGTGTTTTCTTCTCATTCCGCAGAATGAAGCATTTCTTTCAAAACTGAATTCTTTAGCCTTGGCAGTGCAGGCCTGTAACTACAGGTACAAAAGAGGCTGACATAGGAGGATTAAAAGTCAAGGGTAGCCCCAACAATATAGACAGGCATTGTCCCCATCTTTTTTTTTTTACGTTTAAAAAGTGTGTGTGTGTGGGGGGGGGGGGGTTCAGGGAGTGGAGCGGTCGGAAATATATCTCAGTAGAAGAGATTTTGCCTAGCAATTATGAGGCTAGAGGATCAATCCCCAGCATTCAAAAAAAAGGAGTGGTACTTATAATTTTGCATTTTCTGAAGCATGATGATTATGGGTTTGTGTGTGAGAGAGAGTCTGTGTGTGTGTGTGTGTGTGTGTGTGTGAGAGAGAGAGAGAGAGAGAGAGAGAGAGAGTTTGTGTGCATAAGTGTGTTTGTGTGTGTGTGTGCGTGTGTGTTGTACAGAAATACAGAGAAACATGTACAGTTTACCCCTTTCTCCACCTCATGGTGTCTATGGAGTGAGATCCTGGGAAAAGCATTTGGCTAAGAAGAAGTTCAAAGGCCAAAGCCAAGACCTGGCTATAGTGGGAGGGAGAGATGGAGGATGGTGCAGACTCTCCCTGGAAACAGGGAAGGGAGAAGTCCAGCCTCCTGATTGTGATGCCACTTGTGGGTCCTCAGATTGGTGAGGATCTGGATGGATGAATGATGAGAGAGGCCTGAGGTACGCACTGCGGGGAGGTGGAGGCGGGGCCTCCTGTCGCACTGGCCGCCAAGGCTAGGGAGAGAGCCTGGCAGTGACGCGGGCTCCTCACGTGACCCGGAGCTGCAGAAAGACGCAGCCTTGGGTGCAGTCGTCATTCACGTCTGGCCACCAGGTCGGTGCTTCCCTGCGTTCGGCGGGCTGGCATCGGGCCCTAGGCAAACGGAGCAGGTAAAGGGCCCGCGCGCAGCAGCCCTGAGGGTAACAGCTTCCTGTGGGCGACAGCCTCCTGGTGGATCGGCGCGCAGTGGAGGACGGTGCAGAGCCCCGTGGCTTTCTGCACCGCACAGAGTACCATAGTTGTGCATGGAAAGGGTCGCCGGGTCTCGGGGGCGAGGACCGCGGTGTGGCAGGAGGGGGGAGGGGAGAGGAGGAGCTAAGGGGACCCGGAGAAGGGGAGGCTGGCTGTAGTAAAGAGGGCTAGACCTAGCTTTGGAGAGCCGGGATGGGGAAGGGCTGGTAGAAATAATGGGCTGCTGGGTAAGTGGCGGGGGGATGGGCGGTGGGTGTCAGGGTGGAGGGGAAAGGGATGCAGTACTGAGCTCCCGCGCTGAGTCGCTCCCATCCCACCCTGTCTGCAGGTCTACTAGCAGAGGCGCGTCACTGAGAGGACTCCGCAGCAAGTGATACGCCCAGGTAGGTTCAGGGGCAGTGGGGGTGGGTGGGTGGGCGGAGGAGCACGTAGAAAGCCCTGTCTGGGACCCCAATGAGAGCTCCCACTGCACACTACTCTAGCTCAGTCCTCCATTTTGGTGCCTGCAGAGCTCAGGGAAAGGATCTTGTGAAATAAAAATGGTGGGCTTTGAAGGAGGGAGGGTAAAGAGCTGGGGAGGAGGCGAGGGGTTTGAAATGGAGGCTCCCTAGAGGTTGCTTGGAGACTTTAAGGTGGGAAAAATAATAATGAAAACTCTTATTAATCTCTGAATTTTACTGATCCCTGCACCTAGCATTCAGTTTCTTTCCTTGCCCTGTCTTACTTATGTTCAGAAAATATCAACCAGAAAACAAAATCTCATCATGGCAAATATCCACCAGGAAAACGAAGAAATGGAGCAGCCCCCGCAGAATGGACAGGAAGACCGCCCTTTGGGAGGAGGTGATGGCCACCAGCCTGCAGCGAACAACCACAACCACAACCACAACCACAACCGAAGAGGACAGGCTCGCAGACTTGCCCCTAACTTTCGATGGGCCATACCTAATAGGCAGATTAATGATGGGCTGGGTGGAGATGGAGATGATATGGAAATGTTCATGGAAGAGATGAGAGAAATCAGGAGGAAACTTAGGGAGCTACAGTTGAGAAATTGTCTCCGTATTCTTATGGGGGAGCTCTCTAATCACCATGATCATCATGATGAATTCTGCCTTATGCCTTGACTTCAGCCATTTTCCATGAGCTTCATACTGTGACTCCTGCTGTTTTCCTTTTCCTTGCATTTTCCTGACATGCCTTTACTGATTCGTGTGTGGTGAGCATTGTGTTATTTCCATGTGCCAGGTGGGACATATGTTACCAGCTTCTAATTGGAGATTGCCTTCCCACTCAGTGTAAGTTTCTGTCAACAGTACAGTGTTGCCTATTTGCATGGAAAAAAATTGAAGTCAATAAAGCAGCTGAAAAGCAATTTGGATAATTATTATTGTCTCCTTAAGGCATATATAAATACACTTAAAAAATGAGCCACAAAAATCTGAAATTTAACAGTATTGGGGGAGCACATGTATAATTTTCCTTTTTTTTCTGGAGCGTCATACAAAAGTATGAATTTAGTGCAGGTGTGTATAATTATTTGCTCAACAAACAAAGAGTAAATACTCTTGTTGTAGATAGAATTTCTTAAAATTGTTGGTATTCTTTTCTGTGAAATAGGGGTCAGTGGAGACTCAGAAGGCTGTGGAATGGACCAGATCAGGTGTGGGATTGTGTTGTTTTTTTCTCAATTTCTCAACATTCAATAAGCCCATGGCCCCAGCCCTTCTAAGTAGTTGGGGTGAAGTGAGGGGAATCCTCAGCCCTTGTCTATTCGGGTTTCTCCATGTCATTTGTATGTGGCAATTCCATTTTTTTTTTTTTTATTACAGGTATGAGATTTGGGCATACACTCCCTTCCGATTGCTGTTTTCTGCACCTATTATGGCATACCTGTAGTCCTTAGCATAGCTAAATTTGATTTGTCTAAAGCCTATAGTGACCTCAGATATGGTAGTGTGGAACATGCCTTTGTATCTTGACATATTTATCCACGTGAGTATAATCCGCATGGTTCTTAGCTCTTAAGAAAATAGCCCTTTCTGAGTTTTTTTTTCCATTCAAAAAAGAAAAAAACAAAACAAAACAAAACGCAAGCACAGGTGTCCCCATTCAAAAAAACTCAGGTACGTGTGTCCTCATTCAAAAAACTCAGGCGTGGGTGCAGTGGGGCCTAGCACAATAGATAACAGATGCCTTACAGGGTAATGCTTAGAACTGCATTACTGTAAACCTCCAGAACACAAATAGGCTAAGAGCTTTACTGTGTTTCAACCCTTGCTGGATTTCCTTAAAGCAACCTGTCAGCCCAGTGTAAAAGACTTCCTAGAACTGTCTATTTCACTGGGTAAACAGGGGCATTCTCTGCCTGCATCCTTTCTGTCCCATCCACATCTGAAACAAACTCCATTGTGAGCTCTTAAAAATTGTGGTAAGTATTTTGCATTATGGTTTTCACGTGTATGTGTGTGACTATAGTTAAGCTAGTATTGTCTTTAATTTTTAAAATTGTTCAGTTAAATTTTGCTTGTGGTTGATTTTATACACAACAGAAAGATTTTATGAAGAATATTTAAAACTTACTATCTTTTAGAAATATGCTATGAAAGATCACTATGCATTCTTATATTGTGCTGAAAATTAAAGATGAGCATAAGCAACCACAATCCAGTCATTGAGAAATATGTAAATTTTTTTCTTTGTCCTGTATGTAGTCATAATGGAGTCAGATGCAGAGCTTAATAGAAGAAACACTGCCTCTTTCTTACCTTAGAATATGAGTGTGGTGGCACTGGCCTGTAATCCTAGTATTTGAAGGTAGAGATAGAATGATTTTTTAAGTTGGAGGCAATCCTGGGCTACATGAGACCACTCCCCAAATAAGCTTTCATTTAGCCAAAACTCAGGAGCAAATTTTAAGCCAGCACATTTCAGTTGGCAACTTTTTTAAGCATAAGGTATACTCATTTTTGTTTACTAAAACAAGATAGAACTATTTACTTAAGATTAAAAATTGTCCCAGTAACAGAAAGAAGTCTGGATTCCATTAACAAGATTATTAAAATCCCATGTCTGTTCTGTCTCCTTTCCTGCTATCATGTGTGTTATGTAATGCTTTGCTGATCATGTTTAGAAAGAGCTGGCTTTTAGAGTTGCAGATAGCTTGTATTATAACTGCAACTGAGACGGGCAAAGAGGACCCACCTCTCTCTGGGGCACTAGGTAGTGAGCACTGTTTAAAAAGACATCATTACTGTTAAATTGTGCCTGTTTTTGTGTAAATAAGGAGACCTTGGGGGATAAGGCAATTGGACTCCTAACAAGCTGCTTTTGGATTCTTTCTTCCTGCCCTGCTTGCCTTAGGCAAAAGGGCTCATTCAAATAACTAGCCAAACTCCTCTTCTATCAACATCAGCCAGCCTGAACACTTCACAGAGGCCTTGAAAAAACTATGCAAAGATTGCAGCTGCATTCTCCACCTTCTGAAGGCTCAGTTAGGGATGTCTGAAACTGTTTATATCAGACTGTTTGCTTTTACAGACCTTAATGAGCTCTAGACAACTGGGTAAAAGCCTGTAGAATAAGACAGGTCTGCTAGAAGTATTAAATTAAATTGTCATTCTTAAGACTGCAATAAAAACTACAGGAGAAGATAAAATCAGCCAAGGAGAACATACAGACTGAGAGGAAATTGGACTTGCTATGTTTAGAGAATAAATATAGCTCAGTTCCTAAGACTCCAAGTTGTAATTTATCACATGCAATTACATTAAAATCTACATCCTGTCTCCTTCCTATTCTAAGCAAAACAATAAAAAGTATAGGATGGTGATAAAATATTTATATTAAGTATATGACAGAGAAAGGATGAACCTAAGAAAATGGTGAAAGGTATGCTCTGTAAGAAATATGACATTTTTTTTAATATCACAGAAGGTAATGAATGTTCTATAGATAAACAAAGACAATTCAGGAAAAAATGAGTTAAGGCAATGAGAGTTCTGTTGATCAACAGGGACATTTATTAAAGAAAAACTATCAATCAACCCACTAGGAGTCTCATACTCCTTAACTTAGATCAGGCCAAGAAAGAATGCTTCCTTACTTTCCCTGTTGCTGTGATCAAATGCCCTGACCAAAGCAACTTAAGAGAGAATGGGTTTATTTTTTGGTTCCCAATTCAAGGGTACTTACTACCTGTCATGGGAGGAAAGACATGGTGGAAGAAGCTTTGAGGAAGCAGCTGGCCACATTGAATCTGCAGTCAGGAAGCAGAATGTGATAGACATTTTGTTAGCTTTCTCACTTTTCATGCAGGCCTGGACTTCTGCCCTGGGAATGGCCCCACACACATTTAGTAAGAGTCTTTTCACCTCGATTAGCCTAACCTAGATGATCCATTTAATATATACCCAGGAGCTAACCTAATCAAGGATAATCCCTGACAGATATTTCCCCGGGATTGTCTCTGGTGATTCTGGATTCTGTGAAGTATGAAGCTTCACAAAGGTCAAAATCAGAATAAAGTAGCTACTTTTCTGTCACCAGGACAAATACATGAACAAATCAAATTTTAATGGGGAGACATTTATTTTGCCTCGTGTTCTCAGAGTTTTTAGCCTTTATATTGGTTGGTTCTATTGCATCTGGCCTGAGGTGTAGCTGAATCATGGAGGTTAGAGAATATATGGCAAAGGCTTCTCACTTTCCCTGACATGATGTACACAGAGATAGGAAGGGGCAAGCTACAAGTTCTATTTTGAAAGATATGTCCCTATTGATCTGCTTCTTCCAACCAGGCCCTACCTCTTAGCTTCTACCAACTCTCAGTAAGGATACCACTATGGATTCATCAGGCTAAGGCAGGATATAAAGACAAGGGAAATATTGGGGACATGAGAAAGGAAAAAGGACTACCCCTAACCCTAGAATCCAATGAAAGCCTCCTGCCAGCAAAGAAGCAAGAATTCCAGCACACTGTTATTAACAACTCCTAGCAAACTGCTATTGGACTCCTCCTACCCTGCCTGCCTTGAGCAAAATGCCTTTCTTCCCTTTTAGCTGAAAACCCTGAAGTTTTCTGGCAAACTCACCCAACAGTCCACTTACAAAGAAAGGGCATGTAGTAAACAACTTGTGCAATACTAGTGGCTTCTGGTTTTCCTTTATCAGAATTCCACCCGAGTCATCTTTCTAGCTACCCTATAATCTCACTTATCAGAGGAGGAAGAAAAAGAGATTTCTTAAGTACTTTCTGCAGTGTAACTGAGAGCCACCAAAATACTATATATGGCTAATGTTGACAATTAATTGCCTTCTCTCCCTTGAGGAGTCCATACCCGTACTCAGGTATGTCTAATGCTCTGCAATTCATTCTTTGAGAAGCTCATATTCATGCTTTCAGATATGTCTTAATTTCTTCCAAGAGCCTGGCTTTCTCTCAACTGTTGGGCTTAAGTTTATATTAAAGTAGCTTTAACGCAGATCTCCAGCACTGCTTCAAAAACCTGATGTTCCTTTCAGTGAAAAAAGGACAGATCCAGACTGAGCTGAGGTCCCTAAAAGCAGAGCAGAACTCTTAGGCTTCTGAGGGTGGAAGTGAGGGGTGTTTGTCTCCTCACTGCTAACAAAAAAAAATTAATCCATTGATTAGGTCAGAGCCCTCAGAAACCTATCATTTCCCTAAAACACATCAATTGTCAGCCAAGCCTTTAACAGTTTTCAGGGACAGGACTGAACAATTCAGATTAAAATCATAAGAGATATATTGAAAAATCTAAAATCTATAATCAATGTAAGAAATCATAATGTAAGTTTGGGTATACAGCATAATTAGAAAAATGTCAGTAATGGTATTAAAGATTTGGAAAACTAGTAATATATATTTTATCTTATTAAGATGTGAAACAGCAAACGACTGCTGAAAAAAATCTTTAATTTTTTAATTAAATTTTTATTTTTTAATATTATACTTTATTAACTTTGTATCCCAGCTGTAGCCCAGAAGTAAGACCTAATGGTTTTTTGGATTTCATCACTGTCTTTTGTTATCCTGCCCCTTTCTTTTTTTTTTTTTAGTTTTTTTTTTAACTTTTATTATGTTACATTTTATTAACTCTGTATCCCAGCTGTTTCCCCACTCCTTCATTCCCTCCCAATCCCACCCTCCCTTCCTCATCTCCTCTCTGCCCCTTTCCAAGTCCACTGATAGGGGAGGACCTCCTCCCCTTCCATCTGACCCTAGCTTATCAGGTATCTTCAGGACTGTCTGCAATGTCTTCCTCTGTGGCCTAGCAGGACTGCTCCTCCCTCGGGGGGGGGGGTGTCAAAGAGCCAGCCATTGAGTTCATGTCAGAAACAGTCCCTGTTCCCCTT